CTCCCTCCACGCTCCCAGAACCCCTTCCTTGCGCGCCACCACCTCAGGTACATCCAACTCCACCACCTTCACCCCCACCCCCGTCGCTTCGGCAGCTCTCGCGCACAGGGCCAAGACCAACCCGTCCATCCCTCCTCCCAACACCACCACCAGGCGCTCCCGAAGCCTCCCACCCTTGTCCAACCGCCTGTTCGCGTCGCCCTCCTTGTCCTCCAAGAAAGTCTGAACCGCCCTGAGCACAGCCGAGGCGCGGGTGGCGTAGCACCAATGAAGCAAAGGGCTGGCGCGAAAGGAGGAGTACCCCGAGGGACCAGCGCTGGCCTCTGCCAGGGAAGCCAGGAGCGGGATTGTATCGGACGGAAGGACGTGGGCGACTGAGTGCAAGTAGCCATGGCGGGCCATTGACCTATGCAGGCGGGTTGCGGTGGGAATTTGTCCGAGCGCGTGAATCGAGGCTAACTCACGTTTTAAAAACTCTTCAAGTTTCGAAAACGCTTAAATGGATCTCACTTACCATTTACATAGCGCAGCTGTGTCCGCTGTGCGAGAAATGGCAGGAGCAATGGTGGTGGAGCCAGTATTTTTATTCATGTGTAAGTGAAAGAGCCCCTCACTTTCCTCGTATCAATTTAATTTGTATCAAATTCTCAGCTGAGTACCTTGTGTTTCGGCGGTCATCTTTTTGATCATCTTTTTCTAAACACAACAAAATCTGTCACAATTCACTTGATCAATGTCGATGGAGGTCTCAAGTCTAAGAAGTTGGGGTTTGTCATGGAGCAGCTCACTTGACACGAGGACTTTCGACTAGAGTGCACCCACCCACTTGATCTGCATTGATCCCTGTGAAAGCCACGATTTTCAGGCATCCAAGAGAATTTGATAATTTGGAAGGCATGACTGGTCAGCTCCGGCGCGTACGTTGCATCAGAGTTAAAAATCGGTTGTTTGTCCCTTCTAAATTGTGAAAGCACCATCGTTGTGTGAGAGCGTTAGAGACCTCAGCTAATGCACACCAAATAATGGCATGGGGGGCCAAATATCCAGAGAAAAGTGTGCCTTTCGACTCCTTGCGTTGCTGCACTCGGGGCGGAGCATGAGCTTGGGCCCGTGTAATTAAGTACTCGTGGACGGAGAGGCTAAGCGATGAGAGGTACTCGCCGAGAGTCAGGTCTATATCTCTGCTAGAGGTGAAGGAAAGAGGCACGACCAAAGGGGCAAACTCTGAGCATTGTCCCTTTTAACTCTCGTTTCATACGGCTTGCTTCGCGGTGCATCAACGGCCCGCAGATTTGTCCTTTACATTTTCAGCATGCGGGTAGCTTATGCCTTTGATGGGAGGAAGGAAGCAGTGGGGAGGTTGGCCTGCTCGACAATGTTCAGTACTTTCAGCGTATACCAGCTCACCAGTACGCAACCACGACATAAAGCATGAAATGATCGGTAGTGATGACGAAGATGAGGAAGCCAGGGAACGCGCGTCATGGACGACCGTCACGTCTCGCAAAAAAGGGAAGGGTGGCAAGGAACGGGGGAGACGACTTTCTCACGGCAGCCAAGCGGACGCGTCGTCCTTTCACCACCAGACCCACTATTCGAGGTAAAGCATGAGAAAAATAAATGATGATATTATTTTCCTGCCGTGTCTTTCAGCGTTCGATGCAGTTTTTATCCTACACCTGGTGCATCATGTCTCACCTCCGTTTTACGTGCGTAACCGTGTCCTAACTCTTTCGAAAGGGACAGAGACAGGGCTTTAAGTTCACCCGAAGATATAGCAGAAGAGGGCTCTCGCCTGCTGGTAGCTGTGGAAGCGGCGAAGTCTTGTCTCGCTTCAACGACCTTTTTCCTTAACCTTGAGAACGCCCTCTTGACTCGCAGCACAAAAAAAGTCGCCGATAATGAAGAAGAAAACAACACCAGGGAGATCCGTTCCTTGGTCTGCTATGGTCTTGGTAGCATTCAGAGCACGAACAGTCATGCATTGTGGCAGCTGGCATGCGTCTGTCTGATCAAGGATCGGCTTAATGTTCATCTCTCCCCGCCTAGGCCAAGCACCACTCTGCCCTCCCACCCCCCCTCGACCTCTTCCAGCGTCTGCCCTCTCTCTCCTTCCTCAACATCCCAAGTTCAGTCCCTTACATTGCCCTTGGTGGAGGCTGAGATGTTCGATCCAGTCTTCGACGATGTAGACAGCTACCTTCTCAATCGTCTTGGCTGGCGCGTTATCCCGCACAACGAGGAATGCAAACGGCCCGCGCGAGTCCCCACTCTCTTCTTCATGCCATGCTGCCACCGTCGCCTGTATAGCAATCTGTTGTGGGCAAACTGGTCGCCGGAATCGTTGAAGAACATGGTGGTGGTGGGGAATAGTCTGAAGAGCTACCAAGAGCGGGCGTGGGCGCTGGAGGAGGACCTGGACCCTACCGATTGCGTGCTTCCCCTCCTGCCCTGGGTGAGAGAGATGCCCCTCTCCTGGAGAACGAGGACAGGGTCGGGTGGCACGACGGGATGCTGGCCAGGGATGGGGAGGGAGGAGGAGAAGGGAGGGCCGAAGGGAGAGGCGCGGGGGATGGACGACAGGGTGGTCAAGACGGCTTTTGTGGATATGCGTGTGGTCGACTTTGTGAATCTACCTCCACCTGTGGGAGAAGCAGGCGGAAGTGAGGAAAAGGACGTGGCGAAGAGAAGCCTTTGGCACCGGCGCCCCCCCGAGTACCGTGCCGGGACAGGCTCCAGCAAGGGGGGAGTATGATTTCAACCATGGGGAGGGCGTGTGCCTGAACGAGGAGGTCGAGGGAAGGAGGTTCAGCATGGGCTGAAAGTACTCTTTACCACCTGGAAGAGCGTCCTTCCGATATGCTTTCGATTCATTCTTTCATCAATTGTCGGCTCCACTTCCACAACATCTCCCCATTCTCTCCTTGACTCGTAAACATGGATCACATACATGCCTCCCTTTTTTTCTTTACATTCCCTGCGGCGACATACAGGGCGTTTCGAACGCCCCCTCCCTCATTCAAAAGGTTGGTCTCTCACTTCAAAAGCGCGTCAGGCTACTCCATCCCATCGCAGGGGGGAGCGAGGTCTTACCGCCGTCGCCACACTTCCCACCCTCCATCCTCATTCACCTTCCTGCACCCAAATTCTCAAATGAAGTGCCCCCTCGCCCGACGCGCGTCGCTTTCTGTCTTGCTCTCCCTTCCACTCTTCCTACACAAACAAAAGAAGCCGAGCAACGCGAGGAAAAGCCCGACGCCTGCCGTTAGGATCCCCACGAGCAGGGTCAGCCTCTGCACTTTGGTCACAAAGTCCAAGGGCGCATTCACGAGCTCTTGGAAGAGGGCCGCGTCCTCAGGCCCGACATCCGCCTGGTGCGTCATCCAGAGCAAGGGCACCACCTCGGCCGTGTATGTCTCTGCGTGGAAAACGTCGTAGACGTGGGCAGCCCCAATGGTGGAGGAGGAGACCTGTAGGCTCACGGAGGCAGAGAGGGTCCTGCCCGTGTACGGTTCGATGTCCAAGTGGCTTCCGACCGCGGCCTCTGACTCCCCCTGGGGGATGGTTGCGACCGCGCTCAGGCATTCCAAGGACTGCAGCTTCGGACAGCCCAAGTAGTGGGGAGGGCTCAGAAAAAACGGCGCCCCTTTGATATCTGTCATGTTCAACAAACCTTCGCGTGCCTGGGGTCCGTCCATGGAATAAAGGGCTGCGTCGCGTCGCCGAGGGGAGAAGTTTAAGGGGGAGAGGCCAAAGCGGTGCAGGCCAGTAAGCCCCTGGATCGGTGCCCTGGGACCACGGTATTGGAACCGCACGGGGAGGACAAAGTTCGACATGAACACCAGCATGTCTGTGGGCGACTCGACCGTTTCCTCCGTCATGGCGGCCAAGGCCGTGGTTGTGGTGGCGTTCCCGGTCGCTGCGAGGCTGTTGAAGGTCTTCTCCAGCCCCGCCACCAGGCCAGGACCCACGTAGGCCTCCGTCGCGCGCAAAATGCGGTTCAAGGGCGGGAACTGCTCCCCCTCGGAGTAGCCGTACTGCACAACGCTTCCTTGCCCTGCTTCCGCCCCGCCCAGGATGGGAATTTTCCCCCGAGGCCAGATACCCCAGGCGACATCGTCGCCCTTGTATTTCGCCATCGCTCCCAGACGGTCCGGGTGTTTCTTGCCGGTGTGGTACGTGTTGGCCACTTTCTTGTAGTACAGCAGGGTGGTGGGGTCGGTGGGGGCGGTGACCGGGCTGCAAGCTGAGTACATGTTTTCAATGTCCGAGACCTGCACACACTTCCCAGGGGCCTCCATCTTCTCGTCCTCCGTCATGATCCCAAACCAGATTCGGGGGTCGTTTGGCGGCAAGGATGAGCTGAGGATGGGCTCTGGCCGCCCTTCCAGCCAGGACTGCACAGAGCGAGTGACGATCAGACCTCCGTTAGCCTCGACGACGTGCTCGCGAAGGTGAGGCCCTGCGAAAGTGCGGCCCAGGTAGTCAAAGTACCCCAGCATGACCGACCAGGCGCCCTGAGACACCAGGCATTGCTCCAGCGCCGCCTTGCTCGCCTCGGGGGACCGGGCCATGGCGGACTCGACGTCCAGGAAGGTCTTGCGAGAGGTCTGAGTGGGCGAGGGAGGCAAGCCCAGGACGGTTTCCGCGAAGAAGTCCGCGTCTGTCTCGCGCAAGATCAGGTCCCGCATGCATTTCGTTTGCTTCAGGGACCACCGCGCGGGGCTGATGGGCGGAGGGACCTCGTTCTCACCGACGACAATGCCGACCGGGGTCCACACGGGCTTTCCGACGGCAGCCATGTAGAAGGACAGCTCAGGGGGTGTCTCCGGGAGGACCGATTCAGGCAGTGCCGCCCCACTGAAAGTCTGGAGGACGTCGCCAACGGCCCATTGTCGCCACGTCAGGCTGCGGGGTGCGAGAAACGGTTGAAGAAGGGATGAGTATGCGCACATCCGGGTATAATCCTGACAGTCTCACTCCCCGCAATGACTCCAACTAATTGTTGAATAGACCCTTCAGGGAGAACGTTCCAGCTGTCTAAAACAAAGCCTGTCCACCTCTCCTCCCTCCCTACCTGGACCAGTCCGCTATCTCGGCAGTAGCCAGGCCAACTTCTCCAGGGGGCAGCCCGCTGAGGAAATTTTTGATGATGAACGTCTCCAGCAGTGGCGAGTCATAAATCCTGCGCAGGTACGTCGTCAGCATCGTGTATTGGTATGTGTTAAGGCTGTGGATTGGGACGAGGAAAGGTCGCGGCTGTGAGGAAAATGGCGTCGGGTGCATTGACCGCGGGCAGCTTCCTTCCTTTGTTAGTGTGAGTCTCTCAAATTTGATCCCCAACCCATTCCTTCACTAGATCTTATTTCGTTCATGCCCAGTATTTTTCTTCTCGTCTTCATGCTCTTGCCCCCTCCCTCTTTCTTTTTGGGCCTCCAATACCTTACCGGAATCGCGCTAAGAGAGTGTCTCGCATATTGGCATCTGCGTTCAGCCAGTAAGAGATCCCAAAGCGCACGGTACTGTTGACCGTCTCCACATTGAAAATGGAAAGTCTGTCGGAGGTGTCCCAGAGCGCCTTGACGGTTTCCAGGGGAATAGCCTGAGGGTAGGGGACGGGTCACGCGGGAGAGAGAGGAACGAACCCGAGTAGCATGTTAAGAAGAGCGTATGAATATGAGGTCCCTTTTGAAATACCCCGCAAAAGGGAATAGGTCAATCAAATTAGAAATGCTCCCGGCGCCAACAGATTAGTTGGGCAGGGAGCTCGGGGTTTCACCAGCTGTATCCCCGACGTGCCCCCCCTTTAAATCATCGCTCGCCCTACCTGGCCCGGCTCCGACCCCAGCCCTGTGTCAAGGCACATATGATACAGCTCTGCGTCCTCCTTGCGCTCTTTCCCAATCATTGCCTTTAAGAAGGCCGCCTTTTCGAAGCCACATTGTTGCACCATGCCCGCGCTTGCGCATCCCCCTCCCCATCGAATCGCCGTCCCGTCTTCCTGATAGTTCAATTTGGTCAGCGCTTCGTCGATCAAGGCCAAGGTCTTGACGGCGGTAGCTGCCACTGCCCGTTCTTTCAGAGTCGGGAGGAAAGTCGACTCCCATGCACGTTCAATTTCCATCAGGGCCCGCCGGGATCCGTAACGGAGGAGATTCGACTCGCTCCCGAACGTAGCGACGGCGGTCGCGTAGGCGAGATTCAGCATGGTCACGGTGTCCGAGAGGGCCACGTCCTTCCCAGATTGTTCCTGTTAGATCGGGCGGGTAGGGGTCAAATGTTGTTAAGGAAGACACGGGAGTGGAGGGAGAAAGGGGAAGAGGAAGGGCACTCTAGCTTACCGGGCTGTACTTGTTTTGAACGAGTGTCACGTACGACACCAACGTCCCTTTCTCCGAAAAATTGACGTCCACTTTTTTCTTAGTCTGCCGAAACGTGTAGGGCCCTTTCTCCAGATAGAAAGGTTTCTTCCCCTGCAGAAACCCTTTGGAATTCACAAGATGGAAAAAATAGAAGCGCTGGTAGGTAGGCGAATCACCTTCTCCTCGGCCAGCTGAAGAGGGGGAAGCATGATTGACCCATGCTGCATAGTTGGGGTGATCTGGTGAATCAACCACTAATGATTCTAAAGCCCTCTTGTCGCGCCATTCAGGGAGGTAGGTGTGGCTGACGATCGCAGAACCGAGCGCCACCAACCCGATCGCCAATAACAGCAAGCCAATGTTTCGGGTCCACCGCAACACCGTGACCCTTCGAGAAGGGGGAGGGGTCATAGTGGCTGAGAGACGCGATTCAGACCTGTCCCGCAGCGGAGCAGTTCCAGCCATGGCAGCAGCCGGATAGGAGATTGGGGTCGGAGGGTACGCTGCCGATGACGTCATGGAGGAAGAATAGGACATGGTAGAGGGTCTCTCACTCATAGCAGCTTCAATATCACTGCTCGAAGCATGTCTATAGCCTCGCGCGCTGTCGCTTGGGCCTAAGCTGGATGTGTCGCTGGCAATAGAGTCTTCTCTGTGACCCCTTATTCCGCTCGACATATCGTCAGCTCCCATTTGGCTGTCATCGTCCGGAGGGAGTGTCAGTGCTCGAGCAAGGATTTCGTCTTGCTGTCGTCGTGATCCCTCTGGCTTTTGCCATGCCTCGTCTGCTTCTGAATGTCCCGATGCCATGTCGGTCTCAGTCGATAGGTCGGCACTCTGTCATATGGGCCAACAAGCGAGGGCCGGTAAGGAATGATGTCAACCTTCGAGTAGTTTTGGCCGATACCATCCATACTAGTCGACAGGCGACAATGGAAAAACAGCTAACCCAACATGCACTACTTCAAAATGTTAAACCTTCAGGAGAGAAGGAGTCGGAGGTCGTAACCCGTTCTAAACGCTTTGCTCCCGGCGGAACAGGAACTGGAACATGGCGCGAGAGGGAGCAAACCAAGGGGGAAGGGGAAATAGAAGGTGCACCACGAACAGAATTCTTCACAATGTAAATATACCAGAAAGACGCCATGTTCGTGATTGAATTTCCGTGCCACATGATTTTCCAT